GGTCACCACAACATGAGGAACTGTATTAAGGGGTCGCGGCATTAGGAAGGTTGAGAACCGCTGACTTAGATGAAAATTTATTTTTACTTCCCCCATGCCCTCTTCGTGACCTGGCCCGCACCGCCTTCTGTGCTTGGCTGTGGTAACTGACCCCAAGGATATCCCTGAGTTGGATTACCAGGATTACAAGAGTGGCTTGGCTGTTTGGGCATTATAATCAGGATTTAGGGCTGGAGCTGGGAGGATGGAGGAAGGGGAGGGAGAGGGCTCAGTCAGACAGTGAGTGAGGGGCTGTGTGCCATGCTCCCCCCCCCCCTTCTGCCTCTCCTTCCCACCACCACCACCTGATGGACTGGACCTGGGCGCTTGGCCTGTCCCTTCCTTTCTTCTTCCCTTCCACCGACCAGCTTTACTTGCTCGCCCCAAAAATAATTTTAAATTTGAATGTTAAATAATAACTGGTTAGAGCCATGAAGAATTCTTTATTAAAAAGAAAGAAGTTAGTTGTTTAATCGCCCAAGTCACCTAGAAAAGAAAAAAAAAATGTAGAAAAAGTTCAGGTAGTGACTGATGAAGCTAGTTAACTAATTTGGGGCTATCAAAATTTCTGACAATCCAGGAAAGTAGTGGATTGTGTCTCTAAGGGGAGCTGACCCTCTGCAGAGCAATGCAGGAAGGGAAAATATTGAAAATTCTAAGAACTAAAAAAGTAATGCCTCATGAAGAGCAGTAATATCAATTAGAACATTAGAATATGTTATTTAAAAAAGAGGAATTCCAAGTGTAAGAGGTGTACGAAAAACAAAGAAAAATGTCTGCCTAATCCCTGCTCTGGCTTACTCCAGTATTACACTCCAAACCACCCCAGAGGGATTCTGTCATGTGCAACCAGAGTCCAGACTAATAACAGCAGCTATGTGCCACTTTAATGACACCAGAATGGCTGGTCAGGGCCAGCCAGGGCAGGTCAGGTAGGTCTAAGTAGTCAAACCTGCTCACCCTTTTGTGTGCCCTACCTGGATTTATGGAATTAGGATCCACCCAGATACTGAAAGCAGGAAGCAGGACTCCAATCTTGACTGCAATGCCTCTTACTGATAATATGACTAGTTTTCATACCTAGCTACCTTAGAATTTAGACTGAAAAATCCTGTGCTCCTCCAGAATTCTTTCTTCCATAGAAAACTATGGGTTTTAACCTTGCTATTTCCCTACAGTCTGCAGAAACATCACTGACCTACTGTCACCAGGAGATGCTAAAGACCACTTGAGAGGATTTTCAGTACACTCTAAGTCCAAGATTGAGCACTACGTATTTTTAAAAGAAAAAAATTATTAGACTTCTAGTATTTATTATACTAAAATTATTTTAGTAGAATGTTGCTTTAGTATGCTCAAACCCAATGAGGTATAAACTTGTTACAATTTTTATGCAACTGTTTCAGGTCTTATGTTTAGTAAGTCTTGGATCCATTTTGATTTAATTTTGTGCGTAGTGTAAGATAGGGGCCCAATTTCATTTTTTGGCATGTGGTTATCCAGTTTTCCTGATACTATTTGTTGAAGAGACTATCCTTTCCCCACTGGATGTTCCTGGTTCCCCTAGCAAATATTAGTTGACTGTAGATGAGGGGGTTGATTTTTGGAGTTTTCTATTTTGTTCCATTGGTTTGTGTGTATTTTTATGCCAATACTGTACTGTTTTAATTACTATAGCTTTGCAGTGTAGCTGAAATCAGAAATTGTGATTAGTTCTGGCTTTGTTCTCCTTTCTGAGGATTTGGCTACTTGGGGTCTTTGTGGTTCCATAAATATTCTAGAATTTTTTTCTGCTTTTAAGAAAAGTACCATTGAAAATTTGATAGGTATTGTGTTAAATCTATATAGGTGGCTTTGGGTAGCATGATCATTTTAACAAGAGTATTAACTCTTTCAATCCATGAACACGGAATGTCCTTCCATTTGTGCCCTTTTTTTCCCAGCTGTCTTGTAGTTTTCATTGTACAGATCTTACACTGCATTAAATTTATTCTAGGTATTTTATTGTTTTTAATGCTAATTGTGAATGGAATAGCTTTTTTTTTTTTCTTAAGATTTTTTATTGGGGAATTGGGGGGATGGGAACAGCGCTAGGGAATTGGGGGAAGGGGAACAAAGAAGTTGCTGTCCTTTTTGTTCTTCAGTCTAGTTGTGGAGGACGTTGCTTCACTGGCCCAAGTTGGCACCATCATTGCGCTCTTCCCGGGTGAGGCAGATCAGTCGCCGACCTCTGGACGGCTGCTCACAGCGGCTGCTGGCCGCTCATGCTGGCTGCTGGCTACACACTGTAGCCCATGGCAACCCACTGCAGCAGGGGCTACAGCCTACGCTGTCACCAGTGACTCACCGCAGCCTAGCTCCAGGTTGAGCTGTTGTTCAGCATCTTAGCTGTGGAGGGCAGTGTCACTGGCCCTCAGATGTGGGATCCGAACCGGGGCCCTCTGGCATCGCAAGCCAGCCCTTAACCAATGCGCCACCTGGCTGGCCCATGGAATAGCTTTATTTCTTTTTTAGATGTTTCACTGTTAGTATACAGAAAAGCAACCGATATATGTATGTATATTGATTTTATATCCTGCAACTTTACTGAATTCACTAAGTTTTGTACTTGTCTTTTATATCATAATTTTTAATATTAACATATTACATTATATAGCCACAATTAGTTTGTAAAATAATAAACAATATTGCTCATTCTGGACATAATACTTAATGAATTCATAACTGAACTCCTAAGTGCAACATATAGCTATTTATGAGTAAATTCAGATTTGAAAAGTAGATGCAGATTTTTTCATCTGTGGCATCAGAGGGCATAAAATTTTTATACTTTTACTATATTTCATTCATAACATGTATTTGATTGTGTACTTTGTAGAAATTCTAAGATTAAACAGTAGCTAAGTAAACTTTCAAAAATGCACTCAATTTTTAGGTCATTACCTACTTGTGACCTGTTGTGTCAACATTTATGTTAATAGAGGGCCGGCAGAGTGGCTCAGTTGGTTAAGAGCTCACTTAAGAGTGTGAGCTCTGAGCAACAGCAGTTTGAGTCCCAGCTTGAGCTGAGCTGCTGCTGAGTTGCCAACAGGTGGCAGGATGGCTCAACTAAAAATAATAATTAATAGAACTGTTTTTACTTGAGCACTGCATGTTTTGGATGTTTCTTCATTCATTGGCTAGAATGATTACAGGAGAATCATGCCCAAGTGAACTTTGGGTCACTCTTCCTAAGCATTTTTCTATGGCTATAGAAAAGAGGACCCAATGGAGGCTCTATTAACCCTCAGCCCAGTCATTTCCTCCACCAAGAATACCAGGGTATGGCAGGGGCTTTTCAAGTGCAGGAAGGTATTCTGAATTTCTCCCACATCCTCTAATTGGCCTAAATTCTGCTCCTTTGGCTGGAGTATGGCCCCAGTGGTGATGGTAATAGCAAGGTATCTTTTCCACTCCAGCTAAGACTTAGATCCTCATTCCCATAATGTCCTACTGGCCTGGCAACATAAGTCTAAAATTAACCTTAGCCTAGTGGAAGGGACAATCTTCCCCACTGGGACTACTCCACAGGATGAGAGTTGGCTACAAAGGAGACCCCACCTCTGCTCAGATCCCAGGCTGAGCAATAAGGTCCCTCTTGTGCCCAGCCTTTTACCTCCACAAGTCTTGCACATGACTGAGGGGCCTATCTTCTGCATTTATGGTGGCTACCTTCTCCTATCACCAGACTTTAGTGCAGTAAGGATGGTATTAAGTCACAACTGACTGGTCAAGAGCAAGAATGTGAATTATTGCTAAGTTTCTTAGCTATGATATCAGTATTATGGTTATACTGGAAAATATCTTTTTTAGGAGATGCATGCTGGTATATTTTGAGATCAAGTGTCATGGTATCTCACTTTCAAATAGTTCAGACAACAAAATACACATACATACAGACAGAACACATGTGCAGTGTATTACTGTTTTTCTCTAATTCTGTTTGAACATGGAAACTGAGGTCAAGGGAGAACGATTCATCAGTTAAGGCTCCAGGATTATACATGATTCTGCCAGAGGGTGATTGACTCATCTTGAAGGTATTTCTCTTCTTGGCAGAGAGAAGAAACTGGGTAGTACTGCATCAGCTTCAGGATTGTCTATCCTGGATCGCAAACTGGTTGTAACTTGGAGGGAACATTAAATGTGAGATGAGCATGTCTGGTGTCTGTAAATTGAACATTGGTTGGGAGAGCTATGTGTAGCCCTGAGAGTTGGTATTAAAAATAACCTGAAGCACAAGCAAATGGGTTCAGTCTGGCTGCCAGGCAACCCCACCACGTTTCCTTCAGGTTGACCTTTATTATTTTTTTCTACCTACATATCTTAACATTTTCCCCTTCTGGACCTCCCTTGCTTCATTTAATATTTAATGAGTATTATTTTTATGAGTTGGAGGGGTCCAAGACAGGCTAGATCATAAGCTTTGAAACTAAACTGGATAGAAACCTTGCCCTCAAGCATTTTACATTTTAATAAAAAAAGAAAAGTAAGTACTATACAATTACCATGATTATGTTCCTTTAACATAATCCTTTACAATTTGTAACTTAATTATACCTGCAAAGATCCTTTTACCAAATAAGGTAACATTTACAGGTTTCAGAGATTAGGACCTGATATCTTTGGGGGGTCATTTTTAGCCTACTACAGATTGATTTAGAATAAAAAGTGAAAATAACTATAAAATCACTGGTACATGATCAGTATTCAGTGAATATTAGTTCTCTTCCCCCAAATTTTAATACTTCATTTACTATATGAAGTATTACCTAATTATCTTCTGTTCAAATGTCTTAACATTTATACAATAGAATGGTATTATTCTACATGACAAACAGCTTAAACAAAGAATCAGGATTTTTTTTTTAACCTAGAAAGTTTTGTTGCAGTTTTTCAAATGTTTTTATTGGATTTAAAATTCATTTAAGGGATACAGAGATATAGAACTTGTTTGATCAGCTACTAAAATATTTTGGTATCCCTTTATTTTTGTACTGAAGAGCCAGTTCACTTTTTCTCCATGTTCAATACTTAGCTTTGGTGAAATTTTGCCATATTCTTCATCTGTTACTGAAGTATTAGCGTTCCCACCCTGCTTGGTGCAAGTCGTTCTTTTAGTTTTCTTCCTGTGGGTATGTTTTGTAGGACTCTTCTGTTTTTTCTCAACTTCACTGCTTATATCCCACAACATTATTTTCCCATCATTCCCTCCAGTAAGCAGCAAATAGGATTCTGGCAGAAAGCAGACCTGGGATACCCCTAAAGTGTGGCCCTTAAAGCTCAGTTCCTGTTCACACTTGACTCCCATCACCCTAAAGATTCGAACCTTACCATCTTCTGCACCACAACTAAAAATATTACCACACGATGCCACAGACACAGAGTGGGCTAGAGCAGGGTTTAAAAGTTGACCGGGTGATTGTGGGCTCTCCATTTCTTCTGTTTCATCCTCCTGTAAATTTGTAATCCAGAGTGGCCGGGCTTTCTGAAGGCTCCACAGCATCACCTTTAAATAAAAGGAAGTTACACAGTCAAATAGAGTTCTAGCTATTTTTGTTCAACTACCATGCTTATTCTGCTTCTAATAAAATCATCAAAGTAGTCTGGGTATGATTACCAGGATATATTTCCAACAATATTTAAAAAAATTTTTTTAGACAGCACAACATGCCAGTGGAATACTACCCTGGTGCCAAAACTACAATGCCAACGGGCTGTAAGTTACAATTTAGAAAACAAGATCCTGAATTAACAAACAAACCCACTATTAATGGTTTGTTTCATTAACAAACCCATTAAAGTGTAATACAAATTCTTTTTTTTTTTAAGATTTTATTGGGGAATTGGGGGAGGGCAAAAGCGTTGGGGAATTGGGGAAGGGAAATAGACAAGTTGCTGTCCTTTTCATTCTTCAGTCTAGTTGTGGAGGACGTCGCTTCACTGGCCCATGTCAGTATTATCATGGCGGCTCAAGGCAGCTCACAAAAGCTCACGCCTGCTGCTGGACAGCCCCACTGCAGCCTACCCTGTCACCAGCGACTCACAGCAGCCCAGCACCAGGTCGAGGTGTAGCTGTAGAGGGCACAGCATCACTGGCCCTCATGTGGGATCCGAACTAGGGCCCTGCTGCTCAGAGCTGGCGTCCCAAGCCAACTCCTAACCAACGTGCCACTCGGACAGCCCGTAATACAAATTCTTAAGCAGTTGCCAGTTTTTTTAAGTCATTCTACCCTTATCTCTGCAAGTAAAATTGAAGATTACAAAATTTATTAATTTTAGTCTATGCTGGTTACAAGTAAAAATGCCTATCATTGGAATTCCACTGAAGTAATTTCCACCTGTAGTGCTTTTTCCTTTCCCTTTCCCATTACCCAAATTACCCATTCTAGGGGCTTTAGCTCAAGTCCCTGTTCCTCTAAGAAGGCTTTCCGAACTATTCCAGCCCACTTCTCTTTTTCCCATACTTAATTCTTATTCTATTAGTTGACATATGTTACTAGCTTGTCAGCTTCTTGAGCTTTAATTCATCTTTGCTAATGCCTAGCATAATGCCTGGAAAAGAACAGAAACTCCAAACCTGTCTGTTGATTAATCTAACATCCTGCTATATTTAGCTTTTTGTTGTTGTTCCCTACCATGATCTTGGACCTACTAAATCAATTTAAATGAAATGCTAAATAAAACCCATTTGAAACAAAACAATAAGCTTTGTGAATTGATTTTACTCTATAGTGATTCATTTTCTTCCAATTTGAAAAAGAAAATATTCTTAATACTTTTATAGAGAATAGACAGTTCTATTTTACCATTTTGTATTATTCCTGAATTATGACTCACAATTTAAAATGGACACTAATTAGGATAAATAAGACCTTGTTTAGATAGTCAAAAGCATAGATCTGAATTAACAAGATTACTACTGCTGATATTAAGAATTTGGCCTTCTATCCAAGGTTAACTTCTGTCAATTCAGACTACTTTCAAAAGAAGTGAAATCTAATACTACTACTTATATTCTGCTTCTACTAGGGAAAGAACTGAAAATCCTTTTGGATTGGATTTATAAAATTATAGTAAGTGGACAGCAATTGGAATTTGGGTGAAGCCAAAATACTAACAAACTGAAATAAATTAAAGTAAAATAAAGAAATATTAGAAAATATAACAAAAACGAATGAGTACTAAAACTTGATGTGAAAATAATCTCCATAAAAAAAACCTGAGCACAGGAAAATGGACATTCCAAAATCTGCTAGCTTAACTGTATTGGCAGGTACCCCCAAGTTTTTCTTACACAGCCTCTATAATGCCTGGATTATATTTTCTGTCCTCCTAAAACATCTAAATATGAATTACACCAAAAGTGTTTTCAGCAACTTAAATATTTTTGTATTTACTTAAATCATCCAAATGTGTTAATAACCATCCCAGATTCTACCAATTCAAGAATCCAAGTACTGAAGATTCCCAAATTGTTCCTGCCTAGGCAGTCTCTTTTTACTTTATTCTAACTGCCAAAAGATTCCAAAGTGTCTCACAATTTCTCAACCACCTGTTCAAGCAATATCACCCGAAGCAGGGGAGCTACAGATGTCAAAGGAAAGAATACAAGAGTTTGGGGTTTATGGTGCTATAAAACATCAAAGGGAGAGAACGTGGACAACTGGCCAATGTTTAGAAGTGAATATAATCATATCAAAGTGATCCTACTCAAAAATTTCTCCCCCCTACAAAAAACATTTTCTTGCTCATAAAAGATTCATTTTCAAAAAAACCAAAAACCTCCTCCACCATCCTGATCCTTAGGTGTTGGTATTAGTGATCTTTCAGACTCCAGAAAGAACAAACCTTTAAATGTTTATTTTCAGGTGTGGAAAAGGGGGTAGGAGAAGGGGCGGGAATCATGTATGCTACAGAAATATATGATGGTTTCAAATTTCCAAAGTTTTTTACAGGAAAATACTATTTGAGTGGTGCATACACAGGTCTTTATTTAATGTTACTCTTTATACCTTATACATACATTATAAATGCTATTTGTACCTATTTAATATAAAACTAAGTGGTCTCAAGTATCATAATAAATCACACTTTGTTCTTCAGGTCCCTGACTCTGAGTATTATTTAACCTGTCTAAATAAAAAGGTGTAATTTTTATAATTTCTATAATAACAAGGATAGGTGTGCTGAACATATCTACTGTGTGTGGCAGTAATTCAGTTCCTGCCTTGAGATAAAATGCATTTGCTCAGTGAGAAATAACTCTCAAAATTAACCCAATAAAAACTCCCTTTCAGGGCCGGCCGAGTGGCGTGTTGGTTAAGAGCTGGCTTGGGATGCCAGAGGGCACTGGTTCGGATCCCACATATGAGGGCCAGTGACACTGCCCTCTACAGCTAAGATGCTGAACAACAGCTCAGCCTGGAGCTGGACTGCCATGAGTCACCAGCGACGGCAGGTGTGTTGCCATGGCTACCATGTGTAGCCAGCAGCCAGTGTGAGTGGCCAGCAGCCGCTGTGAGCCGCCGTCCAGAAGCTGGCGACTGATCTGCCTTTCCCGGGAAGAGCGCAATGATGGTGCCAACTTGGGCCAGTGAAGCAATGTCCTCCACAACTAGACTGAAGAACAAAAAAAGGATAGCAACTTGTCTGTTCCCCTTCCCCCAATTCCCCAATAAAAATCTTTAAAACAAACAAACAAACAAAAAAATTCCCTTTCACTATTATAACTACACTGTTAGACTCCCCCATAGGCTGGCTATTCTTAAAAGTTTAGAATAATATTGAATAACCAGGTTTTAAGAAATTACAGGTAGAAGAAATTACAGCGTTTCAATTTTAGTAAGAAATAATGTCTTAAAAGCATGGTTGTGGGCCGGCCGAGTGGCACGTTGGTTAAGAGCTACCTTGGGACGCCAGCTCTGTGCAGCAGGGCCCCAGTTTGGATCCCACATGAGGGCCAGTGATACTGCCCTCTACAGCTAAGATGCTGAACAGCAGCTCAACCTGGAGCTGGGATGCCGGGAGTCACCGGCGACGGCTTAGGCTGCACTGGGCTGCCATAAGCTACTGTGTGTGTCCAGCAGCCAGCGTGAGTGGCCAGCAGCCAGCGTGAGCTGCTAAGAGCAGCTGTGAGCGGTCGTTCAGAGGCCGGCAAGCGACTGCCTCACCTGGGAAGAGCGCAATGATAATACCAACATGGGCCAGTGAGGCGACGTCCTCACAACTAGACTGAAGAACCAAAGAACAGCAACTTGTCTGTTCCCCTTCCCCGATTCCCCAACACTGTTCCCCTCCCCCAATTTCCCAATAAAATCTTTTTTTTTAAAAAAAGCATGGTTGTGACATCATAGCCACTATTGTCATATCACAGCCCAGTGCAGAAGGTAATCTACAGTGAACTTTTAGCAATTCTTGGCAGTCAAGCTTGTCTCTTTTTCACAAAATATCTCCTATACTGTTCTCTAGCAGCTGCCTGACTCTAATAAAGCTTCCTGCCTATAACTGGAGGCAAAATGGTAAATTCTAGATGCCCACTTCTTACTTAATCTGAATACTGGTCATTTTTGCATACCTAATCGTTTACTACCAAACTTAGTAGTTAAATAATAAACCAGTGATTGAAAACTAGTATAGCATCATGAAAGAAAGACCAGTTAAAGAGACACTGTACAAACTGCCTACTTAAAACAGATATCCACCTGATTGTGTAGGACTTTCTTTATAACCAAGTACACAGATTATCACCACTAGGGTAGAAAATTGTAGATTTTAAAATTCTGCCTACTGGGCCAGCCAAGTGGCTTGTTGGTTGGTTAAGAGTTGGCTTGGGAGCGCCAGCTCTGAGCAGCAGGGCCGCCAGTTCAGATCCCACATGGGCCAGTGATGATGTGCCCTCTACAGCTAAGATGGTGAACAATAGCTTGACCTGGAGCTGGGCTGTTGTGAGTCGCCGGTCACAGCGTAGGCTGCAGTAGGCTGCCATGAGCGGCCGGCAGCCGGCATGAGCTGCCGTGAACAGCCGTCCAATGGCCAGCGACCCATCTGCCTCAGCCGGGAACAGTGCAATGATCACAATACCAACATGGGCCAGTGAAGCAACGTCCTCCGCAACTAGACTGAAGAACCAAAGGACAGCAACTTGTCTGTTCCCCTTCCCTGATTCCCCAATGCTATTCCCTCCCCCAATTCCCCAATAAAAATCTTAAAAAAAAAAAGAAAAATTTCTGCCTACTAAATAAATACCATTAGTTTGAGGGAAGGGGAGTGGCAGTCCTACTGATAACAAAAACCAGCCTCATCTATTTCTAAATTATGAGGGGGTAGGGAAAGTCCAGGAAGAAATGGTACAGATCATTGGCCAAGAAGGTGGAAAGACAAAATCTTTGATGCTATTAACAAAATCACAGTCTTAGAAGAAAAATACTGTGTGTAGTTAAAAAACTAGATTAAATGCCTAGAACAACAGATCATTAATAAACAATGGTTCTTTTTCTAGACATCCCC